AAGCTTTTCCCAAATCCCGTAGGAAGAAGGGCAATAACATCTTTCCCCTTGATAAAATTCACCAAACATTCTCTTTGTTCCGGCTTTAAATCCTCGATCTCGGGAATTGTTGCCAACACAGAATGTCTGACTTTGTCTACATCCGTCACAACCACTTTGTTTACTGTTGTGTTGTACCACAAAAGGGACCCAGACAGGTGCTTGAGTTTGACGTCATGGCTTCACAGCTCTTCACTAATTGGCCAGTGTGCGGTCTACAACTTCTGGGGTTCTTGCAAACCATCTAGTGTATTCTGATTCCTGACATAGACACTGGAGAGAAATGAAATTGAGCGGAGGCACTAGGTGGCACCAGCCTGGCTACATCACTTGTCCCTATTGAGATGCTATTGCTTTGTATGAAAAGTTCCGCAGTATGGCATTAAACTTATCCATCTCCATAGAGACAAAAAGGTGAAGGAAGAGAGGTGAGTAAGAATTATTTATTTTTGTAATAACACCTATAACACCATGGCTGAACTTCCTTACAACATATTCACATTTCAGTTTTATTTTGATGCTCTGAGTTCCCCCTCCCTTTGCTCTCAGTGCTAAGTCACACCCTTTCTGAGCGTCAAATTACAGTATAATATATCATAGTATTCTGCTAATGAAACTACTACACACAAATAAGGTTTGTGAAATTGTTTTGTACTGTTTTGTATCATGCTTTTGTATACTTTATATTGAATAGGGCCCAAGAGAGTATGCTAGATGACCTAAACATGCATGCATACATCTAAAACCTTCAGGCACGTTTTTGATAAATGAACAATGTTAAAACATGGTAGAAATGCCAAAAAGTCAAGTCAAGGAGAAGCATCAGCATCCATGGAGACAAGCAAGTGATAGACCGAAAACCAGAAAAATAACATAGAGCACTTTTAATGCTTTTCCATGAACATTTAGATTTGTTTAGTATCATATTATGTTCTTTCTTACTTGTTGATAGCAGGTTGCCGAGCAGAATCCCATAGTTCCCCTCCTCCTGTTACCTGAGCTCTCTGTAGCTGCTCTGTGGTTTTGGCCTGAGATCAGAGCGTGATTAATCGGGTGCAGTGTTCGTAGCTTGAGAAAGAATCACACAGGCTGAACAGAAATCTGTAATGACCTCCAGGATTATCAATAGCACCATTCTTACGATGAGATAGATGATGCAGAGTAGCATGCCACAGCTGCTTTCTTCAGTACAGTGTCTTTCTACGCGCTGTACCTGATTTTTATACTCTCTTAAGTATAAAACATGTTTTCTAATTTGCAGACAGCATGCTGTGGATATTTTGCCATCAAGAGCGGCTTACACATTATCTGTAGACAACTGGGGTAACAACTCTTGCTCAAATACATGAAAAAACTCAGGTACAGGACCTTTAAGACTAAGGCTACCTTTATATGGTGACGTCTGAACAGAAGACGCAAAACTGGCATCGCATTTTCACTTTTTATTCCATGTTTAGACGAGTGTATTCGAGAGGAAATCTGCGTGCATACGGTGACTCAAAAGTGTGTGGAATTCGATTGGGTATGCATGCCAAGTTTCTGTGTACACATATATAATGTGACGTAAACGTGTACATGACATGAGCAGATCTGACCAGAGTTTTGCGTCTTGGGCAGTGTAGACGGAAACTCTATGACGGAGTGTATTCAACTTTTCCACTCTGGAGGGTGATTTCAGATTTTTGCCTTTTTAAGCCCCAGAAACGGCATCATCGTCTAAACGAAAGGCACTTCCGATAAAATATTTTGTCATTTTTAACCATAAACAGGCCCTGATAGACTAATAATAATGTTATGGTTCAATCACCTCCAAGGAACCTTAAGCAAAGTAAAGTGGGTCATGAAGGCCTTCTCATTTAAACTGACCACTTTGAATCAAATCTTTACCCAAACTGGTTAATTTGTCCAATTATTCAAAGGTTTTCAATGTTATGTTTCCTAATTTTAAAGTGCACATTTCACACTATTTTCTGATCTAAGTTGCTGTTTCCTCACCAAAAACAGACCTGGAGTTGTGTTTTGTTTAATTCACACATGTTTAACACGCAAATCCTGCATAAAACACTCTCCAGCTTGTGATATCTTGTGGTAACACAGGAAGTGCTCCACTCCATACGCCTTCACTAGAATCATTTGGATGATTTGGATGATCTGGAATAGCCAAATGGTAAATAAATGGAAACTTTTTGAGCTTTGGAGATGTAGACAGACTAATAATGAAGGATTACTCATGTGTGAATAAAACAAAACACACCTCCAGGTATGTTTTTGAGGACATAACAGCATTAGAACATGACTAAAAGCTCACAAGAGTCAATTCTGTTTAATATAGAACCTTTAAAAAATATGTGGTAGTAAAAAATACACAATACACACATTACAATTATATCTAATCTGTCTATAGTTATTCCAGAAGGCTATTTTATTGCCTTATTAAAAAGTAATTAAAGATATCTTACTTATCACCACTTGTTTGCACACATGAACCACAACTGAAAGTCATGCCAATAAGGAGCTGTCAATCATTTCAGTCCAATAGCGTCTTGTAATGTAATGTTGACATATTTTTGAGCATTAAACCCAGAATGTAAATCTATAGTTGCAAATATTTCAACTGGGACTTTTAACAGGGGAAATTCACTGATATATGAACCTATTGTCCTTTCTGTTTCTATTTCCCCTTCACTTCAATCATCATCATGCCAAATTGTTAAGAGGATGGTGTCACCAACCAGTTTAACTTCTTCTGCAGGTAGTTGTGTTTGTGTTCATACAATGTGAGCGAGAGGAGGAGAGTGTGCATGTGTCTATGACTAATAGGGTTTTCTGAACACCTGAGCCTCCACTCGACCAGCTGTAAGGCCCGGAAATAGAGCAATTAAAATGTATTTCCTGCAACAATCCTCCTCCGCTGCCATCCACACTGTTATATAAACGCATTATGTCATTACCTGTCTGTAATTGTGAAGTTTTCCTTATCTGTCTGTCTCCCATGTTGCCTTTAAATAGAAAGCAAATATCATGTGTTATTATTACAGTGTCAATAAACATTAACTATAGGAGTGTGGAGATTTATTAACAGTAAAAGTGCAATCAATGCTTTTATAGGAGGAAGGTTGTAATAAAGGATGTGTGGTTAATTAATATGGCAAGAGAATACACTTGTAAAATATATGACATGGAACTAAACCCACATGCTTGTCTGTGTGTATTGTCTATGTCTGTAAAGAAATGATAAGGCAAGATTAGGCCTAGATTAGAAAAGTTAACAAAGTGCATTGAAAAGTCACACAAAGAAAATTTTAGCTGCATACTTTAATGATTGGCTAAGCATTAAAGGTCCTATATTACACGAAATTGACTCTTGTGAGCTTTAAGACCTGGATTTGTGTTTTGTATCATCACACATGTTTCAGTAAGCCTTTATTATTATTAGTCTGTTTATATCTGTAAAACTCAAAATGCTCTGTTTTGCTTTGTGATGTCATGTAGTTTTCAAGTTAACGGCTTCTTTTACCTTCAGTGCAGTAGAGACTGGCAATTCCAGGGCTCAAATGATCAAAATTATTCTGTAGTGAAAGTGTACGGAGTTTAAAAACACATACTATTACCAGTATTACCACATGACATCACAAGGTGCAATAGAGTGTTTTCTGTTTGAGACAAATAATAGCATGCAGGGTGTGTGTGTTAAACTTGTATGAATGAAACAAAACACAGCTCCAGGTATGTTTGTGATGAGGAAACAGCATTATAACATAGTGTATATCAGAAAATAGCCTAATATGGGCCCTTTAACTATCAAGTGTACACATTTTGTTCTCTGGCAATAAACACAGACTGTATATATCAGGGTGGGCATTTATTTTTTTTCCCACAATATTTTCTGTTTCTCATGTGACCCACATGACAATATTGTGGAGAGCCGTCCAAAATGCTTAACTCAATTCTGCAAAATAATAATTGTATTTCTTTAAATAGCAGTAAATATTATTGTTTTGACAAGCTGGTAAGACTGGTAAGAGTTTATGTTATGACTAAGCAATAAAAAAGTTGGGTTGCTTCACAAAAAATGTCATTTAAAGAAACACCTCTATAATAAAAGCAGTGCAGCTTTAGTCCATGCATGAGGTAAAATTATAAAATATGTTTATTTTGCAATTCCATATGAGCTTAAATTGGCTGGTCAGAGTCAACCAGAGGGACGTATGTGGCCCGGGAGCTGCACAATGCCCAGGTGTGGAATATAAAAAGCTTTTACTAGGGGTGTAACGATATCCAAGTCTCACAATATGATATCGTCACGGTATAAACCTCACGGTACGATATTTATTGCAATATTGTGGGAAAGCTCACGATATGATGGGGAGGCTCACGATTAGTAATGTAACAATATCCAAATCTCTTGGTACAATATTTTAACAATATACATCTCACTACATGATATTTATTGAGCTATTTTGTGACTATTTTTTCCTCTTAAAATGCCTTGACAAGACTTAATCCAAAGAACTAAGACTTAAAAGTGCTAAGAACTGTTATTTCTTCACGTAGTCTACACTAAAATGAAGCAAAGGATCATGGTCTATGTAGTTCTCTGTCTTTTTTTTTTTTTTTTAGCTATTGCTGCACCATAACTCTTAATTTAAGCAAAGAGACTTGTTATTCGATATATTGTGATGGTCCACGATATTATTGTGAAAACTTTGACGATACGATATCATGATATTTCGGTTACTGTTACAAAAAAACAAGTAAACGAGCGTATCATCTGAGCCTATGAAAGGATGCAGTGTTGATTAAAACGTAAAACGTGCCTTGAAGAGTAACATCACCCCGTAAATCAATTAAATATGCACCTGGATTTGAAGAAACACAGCAGCAGCACCTCGCCTCCTCATTGGCCCGCGCTTGGCCTCTGCGCCGCGCGCGTTACGTCCCTCCAACACAAGAGGCGTAGCTCACTGCGCGACTACAGCCAGAGAAATTTCCGCTTCCTCCAAACGATAAACACCACCAACACGCCGAGCACACAGGAGCACCGAGCCGACACCAAGTTGAGGCTTTTGGGGCACAGATGAGACTGTAGAAGCGGTGGGATTCGCGGCGCATTTTAGCCAAAAAACCTACCGCAATGTGTGCACTTTCACGTGGCTATTAGCGTTTCAACTTTTGCAGAGGAAGCGCAGGATCACGCATTTGTGGAGCAGGCTGGATACTGACTGACTATTATTAAGACAACAGAAAGAAGAAGGAGAGAAGAGACTGGGAAAGCAAATCTACGCAAGGGAGAAGCGTGGATAAGCCGGGGTTTCCGTGCTGCTAGCTTCGCCAATCTTCAGCCTCCAGCATGTCGGAGCGAGGAGGGCTCCCGCGGACTGGGGGTGTCCCTTCGCCGCACATGCAGCCCTCCAAGCCGGTCAGCATCTCCTCCAACCGCCCGGTGCACATGAACCTGTTCGCTACCTGGGAGGTGGATCGCTCTTCGCCCAGCTGTGTCCCGAGGTACGTCAAGTAATTGGGCTCTAAACGAAAAGAGGAACCATGACTTGTCGTTTTCATGTTTTGTGCGTCTCGGAAATGGTTTGTGTTTACGCAGGGGAATACAAAAGCGCCCCTGGGGTCTAACCAGCAACGATGCTCGCTCATTATCACCTCATGAATATAATTTGCTGTTGACATTATAGCTGGGATTAGTTTGCTTAATTGGATATAGATTTCTGGGTTACATAGGGCATTTCAATTTGACCCAATGTGGTAAACGAAAATGTGCCAAATACTATTGTTTTTGTCCTTTTTGGCGTTTGTCTGTAGCAGAAATACGCAAGTTTAGTGGTATCTGTTGCTTTTCTTGTAATTTTCCTTATTCATGTCTATTAAAAGTGCTTTTATTGGATCATGGTTGTGGGTTAATTATGATTTTACGCGCTGGGTTACTTGTTACTATCAATATCAATTCATTCTCTGTTTGACATTGTGTTGAGTGCAGCCAGTCAGCGATGTAATAGTCCATTTCTGTGACAAGTCAAGTGAAAGTGTGCGTTGCGCGTTCGAGGCTCCAAGGTCGTCAGACTCGTAATCGCGACACTTTATCCACCACGAGCGCAATCCCCAACCAAGACATCCAAGTAGGCGTCTTATTGTGCGCGTGTGAATTAGTCAACGCCGGTCTGCACACAAAGCACCGCCAGGCAGTCACACATGCCAACGCAGAGGCCACAATATGATCATTATTCTCTGATAGAACTGTCATTTTTGTTTTGCAGATGTCACTTATGAGATGAGATGAACAGGTGATTGCGGTGCAGTCAAGGTCATGGGTTAACGGAGTAATGAGAACGTGCCTCTAGTGAATTGATTGTGTGGTTAAAAACATGTATTTGTAGACTATTCCTGTCATGTGGAGGGTTGGAGGATAGAAGATGAAAACAAAAATGCATACGACATGTTGCTTCTGGCCATGGTCAACTCTAACAATAGTGTCTAGACTTAAACAGACAAAGACCAGGTTATATTCTAGTGGAAGGGTAAATTTACGCTCCAAAATCTGGTTATTCCTAACAGCAAAACCAATATAAACAAATAATTTTTCTTGCTAAAACGTGTCACTTCCAATCCTCCATCAGTAAATTCATTTAGGTAATCAGAATTCTAAAGGGCAAAAAGAAAAGCCAAAGTAATGATGTTTTTCACTTAGGGTCCAATATTACGCAAGACTGACTCTTGTGAGCTGCAGATGATGTTATAATGCTCTTGCCTCCCCAAAAACATACTCAAATTATTTTTTTTTTCATTCACCCATGTTTGATTAACCCTTCATTATTAGTTTATCTACATCTCCAAAGCACAAAATGTTCTATTCTACTTTGTGAGGTCAAGAAGTGGTAATTTTCAAGTTAAAAGCTACAGTTTGTTCTATAGAGATTGGCATTTGCACGTCTGAAATCCATCCAAATGTTAGTGGAGGTGTATGGAGTTTACAAACACAGTGGAGCACATCCTGCGTAAATAGGCAATTTAAAGACATTCCTTGTGGTTTGTGTTTTTACCTTCTGCAAAACCACAACAAGTGCAGACAAATCCTAAGAACGTTTTGTGAAAATGTTGGGCAATTTTTATATTCTTGGCCCTGATTGAGCAACATCATAATGAAAAGAACTACTTAAGTTTGGTCTGCATCAAAAGTCTTGGGTATAACATGGATATAAACCTATAATAATTATGTAATAGACAGATATTTAGTGTGATGTAGTCAATCCAGTCTAGTGGGGTTTTTTTTCATATTTTTGTCATATTATAGTTGATTCAATATTGTGCAATGTGCTGTCTTTATCCATTTGTGAGCTCTAAGATGATCCTGTTTTGTTTCACTTCAGCGTTTTAGGTTTACAGTACAGTTAAACTAAGATACAGAGCAAAGCTGTTCTATTTTTAAAGTAAATGTTTCTTGATTTGCTAGTACAGTGTTTTTTGTGTGTACCTCGGATGTGGGTTATTCTTTTCAGTAGTTAGTGGTGAGTGTATGTGCAGCTAAGAGCCATGGTCACACCGCGCTCACATGGTGTCAGCCTAATACTATATTCTCAAATACTTATGGGCTTTACAGGGCTGGAGAGCAAAGCCACAGGATACATGCTCTGTGTTTTTTTTACTTTAAATGTTTGTGGTGTAGAGTGGAGCCCTGTGCCTGTTCGGGACATGAATAAAACATCCAAGCGTTTTTAGACTTAATGGCTTGTCTAGTTTGCAGCTATTTACAATAACCTGAGAAAGGGACTGCTCAATATATCACAGTCCTATCGAATTAGGAATCTGAGTTGGCACAGTGTTATCAAATCACAAAGGGTGCACTTGTGAATAATTACGTAATTCATTCATTCATTAAAGTAATAATGTCCTCAGACAAAATCTGTCTTGTGCTTGTGGTTTAGATCTGTTCAAACATGTTCTGAAATTGATGTGACTCTTGTTCAGTTCATGTTTCAATTCATATTTTGGATGCTCCTGTGTGTACTCAACATATGCCCTTCCTAATTTGTCCTCCTCAGTTTTGGCACGCGTCAAAATGCAAACTTACTGATAGCGTTTATATGTGTCCACGTTTTATGTCAGAAGCCGCCGCTGTCGTGAACAAACTCTCTACAGCGAAATAATTCATTGCTATGCGTATTACGTAATATTATTTTAAAAATTCTGTTTGCTTTTTTATTTTTGGGGACAAGGACAAGCTACAGTTTTATTCTGTTTGTCTTGCTTAAACATTTGCTGTATCATGTATGTATGCAAATCGCTGCGTATTGGATAGACTCTGAAGTAAAAATGCCTTTTCTGATTTTTCAAATGCACCTTATGATTCGTCAAATACCTTACATTTCACTGCATTTGCTGCAACAGAGAGAGAGAGAGAGAGAGAGAGAGAGAGGAACTCAACAAAGCTAGAGAAGAAAAAGAGGGATGGCGAGAAGGAGAAAGCGGTAAAGAGAGGGGAGAAGTGCTGGAGCTGTCATCTACATTTAAACAGGATTCTGCTGGAGTCAAATAATGTGCCATTCCCCAAAGTGCCTGCAGCGTTTGAGTCATGCTACAGCAGCTATGGCCCCTGTTCCTCCAACCCACTTATATTGTCTTCAAGTACTGTATAGAAACAAACACAGACGCTTTCTTTTTGATATAATGCTCGCAGTTGAGTTTGATCACAATTTATTAATTTAGCCAGGATCGGAGGTCAGTGCTTGTGGGGGAAAAGGGATCAAAGTTTCCCTGTTTCATTTTATGCATGTTTTTAAAGAGAAAAATAGTAAACATACAGACTGCATTGAAGCAGGGGTGTCAAACTCAAATTCACGGAGGGCCAAAATTAAAAACTGGGACTAAGTCGTGGGCCAAACTAAATATTTATTAAAAAATTTCAACACCATCTGCATGTTTTCTCGAGATATGTTAAACCTTTTCTTATTAAAATAAATGTTTAACAGTAGTTTTGCTTAAACATTGAATCCAGAACAAGCACAATATAAAATAATAACAACATTTTAAATAAATAATGTCTCTGTAGCCGGCGGGCAGCTCTAATACATATTTGATATTATCTCGTGGGCAAAATATAATTGTATCCTGGGCCAAATTTGGTCCCCGGGTCTGAGTTTGACATGTCTGCATTGAAGCTTATGTAAAATCTGGTAAATTCTGTGATCATATATTCACATTTGGTTAAACTTTAATAATTTTTTTGAATATATTACTATTGTTTTGAATTGTGGGAAAAAAATCATCAGCTTCTAAATTAATACTTTCTGGCTGCAGCACAATAAAACAAAAATAACAACAGATTAAGAAGCAGGATCAGCAAGTTTCTAATTATAGTCATGCAATCTTACATCAACAGTAATAGTAGTTGTAGTAGCAATAAAAGCACTGGGTTTAACTTGAGAAATATAGGTCACAATATGAAGTACTAATCAGCTCTTTTAGAAACTTGTTTAGACATGATTCTCAGTTCAAACTTTTGCAAACCTCTAAAATAACTTCTGCACTGTTGTCTACTTGTTAACCACTACTCCAAGTGTGACATTAAAGCTTTATAAAAAGTCCCCAGAAAAACCCAGAGCTCTTCTTGTTGTTGTTGACACAGAGAGTAGCCGCTGCCTGTTCCTTCGCAGAGGCCCACGCACCGGGTCTGCAGAGGTGTCATAGCCCTAACCTCTTCCTGTCTACCCAGAATGCCACTTGGTTTGTTATTTACGCTGCTCCGTGTTGCACTTGCCCTGGCAGGTACAAATATGCACATCGGGTTTCTCCCTCCACCAATTTGTCCAGAAACCGCAACTTAAATGCCAAACATATCCAAGTACACAGGAAATATTGTGTAAAAGAGGTAATATCAGGAAAAAGAAGGAAATGCTAGAAAATAACAAGCTCTTTTTATAGAGGCATTAACTTGTTGACTTGTTTACTCCCAACATTTATTTAGAGATTAATGGTGCACTATGCAGCTTTTCTGGTGGCGTTTTTCACTTGCTCATTTCTAGGGGTGTGCAAAAATACTGAAAGGTCAAAAAATCATATTGTTTAATTCGATGATACAGTATCGATATTGTGGGTTGCTGTATCGATATATCACCAAGAGTATTTTAGGTGTATTTTACTAAATTATTTTGTGCAATAGCCACAGCTGTGTTGCCATTTTCACTGTTTTGATTAGTAAAATAGGTGTTTCTCATATTAACTTTGCACAAACTTAGTGGACTTAGTCGACCTGTAGTATCACAAACATGATTTTTGTTTTTCACTGAACCGTATCGAATTGGTTTGAAATATATCATATCCGGTTGTACTGAATCAATAGTAAGGGTGTAACGATATCCAAGTCTCACAATGCAATATTGTCACGGTATGAACCTCACGGTACAATATTTATTGCGATATCATGGGAAAGTTCATGATATGGTGGGGACACTCACGATTAGAAATGTAACAATATCCAAATCTCTCGGCTTCAATATTTT